CTAGACGTCGTTACCTTTATTCTGAGCGTCTTCCTCCCCTCACCCTGTTTGGTGCTGGCATGTTTGCGCTATTTGCATGTTTGCAAATATTCTATTTGCGTTCTTTAGAGGGCAAGCCAGGTGTGGGTAGCCACCCTAGACCTCACCTATGTAACTACTTCTTGTCACCAACAGGAAACTGCACATAAAGCCCAGAACAGTGCCTCAGAGCAACCTCTCCCTGTCAACTGTATTTCTGAGCTGAGGAAGAGAAGCCCATCCATCGTAACCTCTAACCAAGGAAGGGTGCTACAGAAAGCCAAGGTATAGCAAGCAATAGCTCAGCTAATTAAAATTCAGACACCGGGCAGCCTTCCGATGGAGCCTCACCAAAAGCCAAAACATCATCTAGTTAGAAAGGCAGAGAAATGCCAGCACATCCACGCAAACTCAGGAAGTTTGCTCCGAGAAGGTCCTCAAATCTCGTTCAGTCCCTATTGACTCATTCTTAACACGCAGTCCTAACAAGCTCAGTTTTCTGGTTTCTGAGCCTCCAGTGGGTTTGGGGACAGGAAAGGCCCTGTTTCATAGGTGAGGAAACTGATGATCAGGAAGTGAAGAGACCTGTCCAAGGTTATGCAGGGCATCATTGCAAGAGCTGGGCGGCAAACCCACCTCTTCCAATTCCAAGTCCAGGGCTCCCTCCACGATACTGGCCCACAGTCTGATCATCTTGGGGCCAGCTGTGTTACAGAACTTTTTGGATTTTAGAAAGGTAATACGGTACACAGACTGAGTATGATGAAAAACTCCAACAAATTCTCAGGAGGTCCCCTGTAAGCAAACACGTTAAAAATTTTACAAGGCACATGAATCTTCACCCCCTGTAGAATAAATAGATTATAAACAGCCTCATATCAGTTCAGGTCAGGTTTTGCCACCAGTTCAGTTTGTGCCCAAACACTTTAGAAAAATTTTGGTTTCGGGGGTTTCTGGATTTCAGAACTGGGCGTAAGAAATTGTGGACTTGAAAATCAAACACCCGAGCATTAGGACATAAGATTAGAGAAGTAACCAGCCAGAGGCGAGATCATCTAGACTAGATATCAGCAAACTTTTGCTATAAAGATCCGGATGGTAAATATATGAGAGCCTGTGGACCACAGAGTTTCTTCCAGAATGACTCAGCTCTGCTGTTATAGCAGGAAAGTAGCCACAGACAACATGTAAACAAATGATGGACATGGCCGTGTCCCAGGAAAACTTTATTTATGGACACTGAGGTTTGAATTTCATAAAATCTTCACGTTAAGGAAAACCGCTATTGTTTTGATTTTTTTCCCAAACATTTAAAAATGTGAAAACCATTCTTAGTTGATGGGTGCTACAAAAACATGCAGTGGGCCAGACATGGCCTGTGGGCCAGTTCGCTTCCCTTTGACCCTTGTAAGCCATGGAAAGAACTGTGAATTTTAACATTCTGAAAGTCATTGGCAAGTTCCGGGCAAAAAATTTTTGGAGACGAATTACGTATTTAAAAGACCGTTCTGGAACAATGGTGAGAACTGATAAGGGGACAAGAGAGACCAGTCAGAAGTAGTCGTCTAGATGAGAGATGAGAAAGGTTTGGTGGGGGTGATTTGAAGTGGATGGCTTTGGAGGTAGAGACGAAGGATTTCCTGGTGAGGATGCGGAGGGTGAGGAAAAGAAAGGAATTAAGGTTGATTATTCCTGTCAATGCCCTCGGCAACTGCAGTGTAGATGGTGAACACTGGGGGAAGAGCAGGGTGGGATCGGGGAATCTTCCTAGCAAGAATGTTCGAACCATCCCTGTGAACCCTGGTTCACACCATCACCTCCAGAGCTGGCTAAAAATCCCTTTGCATCATTTAGGGGTAAAAAGCCAATCACTATTGGCCAAGACATCAGTATCCCTCTAAGATGAACCCCTACACAGCTCCAGGGGAAAGAATGGAGCCCTGTGAGCCCCCTGCCTTCACCCTTCCTTACCAAACCGCTTTGGTTTCTCTCTCATCAGCCTCCTCCTCCACACCAAGGTCTGGTGGAACAGCATTAGCGTCAAAAGTTGTCCCCATTCTCCTCTCTATGGGCCTCAGTTTCCTTGTCTGAGAAAGACAAACTTTGTGATATTTGGGCCCCCCTGAAGATGAGCCCCAGTGTGGAGAAATGACTTACCCAAGGCTACAGAGAGAGAGTGAGACTAGGACCCATGGCTCTCTAATCTGGTCCGTGGAGATCTTTATATAATTAGGTGCCGTAGAATGTTTTTATCCTGCAAGTCACATAGAACATTCAGCAAACTGACTCGTCTTGTCTTTCTGTCCTTCAGGAATGGGAAATGAAGAAGACCTAGAGAGAGGGTGAAGATTTCATTCCTAAGGAAAGACGAGATCGCATTGGAAACACTTTTTTCACCAGGAGATGCCAAAAGACTCGAAGTAGCCCCCACTCTCCAGGGCACCCAAAACACCAGCGTTTATCGTCTGCATGATTCTAGGGGATATGGGGAGGGAAGAAGTAGAAGGGAAGAGGGACACGGAGAGTGTCCTTATAACTTCACAGAGGGTGGAAAACGGGTGGAGGGAGACAGAAATCCGCACGGTTGCACAGGTTTCGTGAAACGTCTTTGCCCTCTCTTCCGAAGAAGGAACGAAAGCACACGTGAATAAGTCCCATTCTCAGCATCCCATTCCCAGGCCTCAGGGCAAAGGAAGACAGTGCTGAAGCCAGTGGTACAGCACAGAGACAAGACTTGATCAGCTGATCACACTTGGGCCTACTGGATTCATGCTGGGCATTGCCGACAACCACTGGACAACATAAATAGGCCGAACTATCAATAGAAATTTCCCTGCCTACGTAAAGGTGGACGAAAGCTATAGACAACATGCAAATTCTGCAGTCAGCCCTTTTGTGCCTTACAACCAGGCAGATGCAGCTACCAGAACCCCACAGTGGAGTGGTTTTCATATTAGAGATCGGAGATGCAGCAGGCAAGGGGAGGTTCAGCAGCTGACTTATTTTGAGCTCTTAGCGAGAGTGATGGGAACATTGGTTTCTAACGTCCCCAGGATGCTGCAGGCATTGTAGGGTGGGGCCATTTGTGGTCAGTCAAGTCCTTTACCTATTTCATGTGACACTCAGGCTCCAGGAGCAATGGTTAGAAATCCAAGTGATGCTCTTTATGACTTTATCCTTATTTTGCACTTGGAGGCTCTCCCCGGTCTGCCCTTCTTTATCTGTTGATCAAGTAAAATCATCAGGGAGAATCAGAGGACAGTGGCTCACTTCTGCCATAGTGCCTTTTACTTACACTTGATACTTTTATGGGGAAGCAAGGACCTCAAGTCTGGGGCAGTCTCCTTGCTGTGCCACTCGCTACTTTCTCAACACTATAGGCGCTATCGAGGTCTTTACATTTCCTTCCAAAAACAGGTAAGACCAGTTAACTGTTAAGAGCTCCAAGTTTAGCTCAAGGAGAGAGAAGGGAAATCCCAGAACAGCCTTTGGACACTTTGATGGAGGTCTCACACACTTTACCCTACCTAGGGCTTTACAAACGTGTGCCTTATCCAAACTTTACCACCCTTGGAGACAGCCAGGAGCCAAAATAGGGAAAACAACTCTGACCAAAATCATCCAGCTGGCCAGTGGCAAAGCATAAGGCTTAGGGCTTATGAGCCTGGATCTACACAGGGTTGGGTTTGAGCCCTGCCTCTGCCACTGACCAGCTGGTGACGCTGGGAAAGTCACTCGCCCTCTCTGATTCTTGTTTTCTTTACCTGAAACCCAGGTTAATGGTTCTATTTTCCTCCCAAGACTATTGGGGAGATTCAATGAGAGAATACATGGGAAGCATTTTGCATACTGTCTGAGAAATAAGAAATCCTCAGTCAATAATGGCTTTCATTATTAGCTAGATAACAAATGTCTGACTAAAAATTCTGCGTTCTTTCTACTGAAGAAATGATGTGTATATGGTTATTACAGCCACCAAAAAGCTAAAAGGCAACTAATCCATAACTGACAGTTTGCATCCAGATTCCACTTAAATATCTTCAACGAGAAAGGAGCTCACATCACCTGGATTGTTAATGTTCTTTTTTTTAATGTGGATCCTGGAATGACACCAAGTATTCCAATTACATCCTCAGTGTGTCCTCAGTGTGTTATTTTGGGGTTGAGCATCTCTTCCCACTGATAGATCTTGCGACTCGTTGAGGGGGGAAACACCACAGAATTAATAATAAGCATTTATCGAGTACTCCATGCATCAGGTACTGTGTCAGCCAAGGCCAGCTTCACGGGCACACAACCGGTGCAGTCACAAAGATGAGTAGAGCCCTGAGTTTGGTTTAAGGCGCTGCTATTGCCCTCTTAATAATTTTTTTTAATGTTTATTTTTGAGAGAGAGAGAGACAGCGTGAGCGGGGGAGGAACAGAGAGGAGGGAGACACAGAATCCAAAGCAGGCTCCAGGCTCTGCGCAGTCAGCAGAGAGCCCAGTGCGGGTCTCAAACAAACGGACTGTGAGATCATGACCTGAGTTGAAGACCGACACTTAGCCGACCGAGCCACCCGGGTGCCCCTTTTGCTCTTTAAATTATGTAGCCAGTCCTGGCGTTACCTAATCACTTTTCCAGGCATTATCCCTTTAGTTTGCACTAAAACTCTGTGCAACAGTTTCTGGTATCCCGGTTTTCACAGGTGGGGAAAGTGAAGCACAGAGGGGTTATGTCACTTGCAGGAGCGCACGGCTGGGAGGTGCTGGAGCCAGCAACCCTTCCTCTGAGTTCCAAGGTTCTAATTCCTTCATGTCTTACCCCCCCACCCCCCCACCCCCGAACTGCAGCATTCAGAAGCACACTAGTGCTTAATACCTAGACGAATGAATGGATGCACGTATGCAGCCTTGATGTTAAGTCAATCAGCTAAGAGAGTGCAAACAAAATGGCTAAAGCACAGAGGCCAGTCCTTGTGTGTGAAAATGCCTCGGTTGCCTCAAGGTATAGGCTCACGGCTCTAGGGTGGAGCTGAAGCTCCATCCTTCCCGACCCTGCCCCAAGTGTGGGGACTATCAGATTTCTGACGTCCCTGGATCAGTCGGGGACCCTGAGCAGGTTTACCAACCTCTCGGAGCCTCAGTTTTCTCAAATGTAAAGGGGATCATAATCCCTTCTGCTCCCATGCTGCTCTTCTCCTGAGACGAAAAGGAGACATAAGGTATTGGTTACAACACATTTGAGTTGGGCCTTGGATAGAATATAAAGATGCAAAAGTCTCCAGCTCTGTCCTCAAGGAACTTGCAGACCAGGAGAGAGAAAATCTGACCCAAATAGCTGCAGTACAAGTAAACCATGTTATGGTGAAGATTTAGAATAATGAGGACACACCTCCCATTCCTTAAATAATGTTGTTGTTGTTGTTTTTACCTTGGGGACTGTGCAGTAACTAGTCTAGCAACTCCAAGTGCCCTCAACCCCAATCACCAGTCTATCTTGTCAGTTTTCCATATTAAATCTCTCTCAAATTCTTCCACTTCTTCCTATCTCCACTGACACCAACAATTCATTCATTCAACAAACATCTGGTATGAACCTACCATGTACACCTACTGTACTAGACAGATGTCAGAAATCACAGCTGTGGACCCTCATGAAGCTCAAACGCTAGTTGGGAGAACAGAAAGAAAACAAATGAAATACTAATATGGAAACAAAAACATGCCCAACACACCTAAAAGAGTAGCTACTTCAGATAGGGTGGTTACAAAGGTCTATTAAGGAGTCCCCAGGACAAAATACAGCCCTCCCTTGAATGGACTAGTCCAACAGCTTGTCTCCCTACTTCTCTGCTTAGATCCAGCCATCTGTCATACGGGAGTCAAGGCCACCCGTTACACACGTAAAGGTTTTGTAACATGTTCCCACTGCAATCAGAGTAAGACTCAAGTTCACATTCAACAAAAAAAAATTTGAACTACACCAGGACACTGTTCCACCGTTCATTGGAAATAGACAAGATAATCTCTGCCCTAACGGAGCTCACATTCTAGCGAAGGGAAATGAGAAAACGCATTTTAAAAACATAATAAAGTCAGAAAACAAGGGAATTGGAAGGGGAGAAAGCAGTTAAGAGTGATGCGGGAGTCGGGCTCCAATTTTTTAAATCCCTCGCGTGATCTGTTCCGCTAATTGTGTTGTGTTGCCCCTCTTCCCTCCAATATTTCAGCCCGTTACTCGCAATGTACTCTCCCTATTGACTGGGTCTTTGCAAAAGCTGTTTACCTCTACCTGAACCACCTTCCTCCTCTTTGCATCTACGCATCCTTCAGTTTTCAATTCAACTATTTTTCCCTCTGGGGGCAACTGCCCACACTCGGCCACATCATGTTCCAGGCTTCCGTGACACCACGCCCCTCACCTTTAAACACCGGTCATATTTTGACTTAATGCGTTTGCCTTCGTTTATTGTTTACAACTTTACGTAAGCCCCTTGAGGGTACAGCTGAGATCCCCCGTGTTCCCGGCGGATTTCTCGACGAACACGGAGCTTGAGTCCTACAACAGGAACCCACCCTACGCGCCCCACGCGCGGGGGACCGGAAGTGTCGCGTTCCGTCGGGGACACCGGATGGACACGAGCACGGCGCGCAAAGACAGCCGGAAGTGTGGCGTTCGCGACCCGGACCCTGGGCCGGGAGAGCCCGCGAAGGCTGCCGGGAAGAGTGGCATCTAGCGCGTCTCGTCATTTGGAGCAAGTGCGCTTGCGCTGCCTCCGTCAGCCGGGTTCGGGAATATGGCCGCGCGGTCAGTGTGGGCGGTCCGGCGGCTGGTGCAGCGCCTCCTGGCCTCGAGTGCCGCGTCCGAAGGCAGGTAAGCGAAGCAGGCCGCGAGTGGAGGGTTGAGGGTAGTGCGAGACGAGCGAGCTGGAAGGACGGTTGTGGGCTGGAAGGGCGCGAGCTGATCCACCAAGCTTCTCGGCTGCTCCGATCGGGCGCTCACGGCCCCATTCTACAGAGAAGGAAACTGAGGCACACAGTCGCGCCTTCTTGCCAGGCCAAGGAAGGTGGGAAGAGCGGAGGTCACGTTCCTCGGAGGTGGGAACTCTTCAGCCCCAAGCGTCGATTGAATTGGGGATGTACCTTTCCCGGCCTTTATTCCCAACCTCCCCAGCTAGAGTGTCCGCTGTTAAATTGGGATTCTCCCCGTTGACCCCCTGTGTGCCTCTGGGCCAGTCCCTTCCCTATTATCCCGGCTACACTTTACCTGTCGGTAAAAGGAGGGCGTTGGACTTGGCCTCTCCAAACGGCCCTTCCACCTGCTCCCCAGAGTCTATGAAGTTGCATTTGCTGCTGCTTTTCACCATCGGCTGCGGCACCTTTTATCGATCACTTGTCATGCTGATTGTAGAACTCTATGGGTAGTTCTTTTTATTCTCCCGTTCAATCGAGAAAACTGAGGTTTAGAAAAGTTGAGTAACTTATCCAAACTCAAACACTCCATAATTGTGGAACCCAGCCCCAGATTCAGGGCTCTAGAATCTGCTCTTTTAATTAGTGAGCAGCGTTAATTCTCAGGAACGATTCCGTGTTTAACTGTTTCTTCCTGAGAAAGAATAAAAAAGAGTGAATTGGGGGATGGGTAAGGTTGGACTTCCTGAAGTGTAAATTAAGCCGCGGCGTCCCCGGGAATTTCACATAACTATTTGTCACCTTTTTATCTTAACACACCTGACCTAGCTAGCACCCTGCCCTAGCACCCGGGTGTGAGGTTGAATTCAGGGTTTCCGGCTTTTTTTTTTTTTTTTTTTTTTAAGTCTTTTTGGCAGTTTGTGATGTAGGTACTGGCCAGAAGAAGAAAGTTTCCTTCTGATAAAATTTCCCCTCCATTTCTGAAGCAGGAGGAATTGAGGGGATCAGCCTCAACTCTCCTCTTCAGACTTGGGCTTTGGCCATATTCTCTCTCTCTCTCTCTTTTTTTTGGCCATTTTCTCTTTAAACTAGCCCTGGGAGTATTTTGACCTAATTTCAATTGGATAAATGTAGGTTTGTTAGGGGGTTAGGAGAAAGGAGGTATTTCACCCTGTGTGATTTGCCCCAGATCTATGGTGATCATATTTTCTGAACCAAAAATGGAGAAACCATATATAATCTGACACCAGATTGTAATAGCAGAGCCCAGTCCTGGCCTGGAAGGAAAGTCTGGAACATAAAAGTCATCTTGCCCATAGCTTTATACTGAATGTTCCCTCTCCCTTTCTTGACGCAAACTCCTTTTCCCCCTTTAAATCTTTGCGTGGATGTCACCCCAGTGACTGCCCTTCATTATATGCCAGTTTATATATGTAAACTGTTTGTTTTAAAGACCTCTGTGCTCATGGGTTGGTTTTTATTGATGACTTTACTTCAAGTCAAATTATGAGCATCCAGGAGGTGTAATGGAAACTTCCTTGAAGGAGGAGTCAGAACTGCTACAATCCAAGATTTATAAAGTAGCCCCTGCTCTAAATGTCTTTCTTTGTAAACAACTGTATGTCAGACATTTGAGCTGTACCAAATTCCAGATTACAAACATGATTGAATACAAAGATCTGTTTTATTCACCTGTTTTTAGTGCACCCGCTGGAATGTATAGTGTTTTATAAGTATTTAATTGACGTGATTTTACAGAGAAGTGGGTTCCCAACTCAGAATTTCCCCTAACACAGGTTTTCTTCCATAAAAGCCCTACTTAGGCACTTGTGGTCAAGAAAGCTTTAGAATTCTAGGCCTAACTCCAGTTTGACACAGTCCCTTTACTAGGCTTAATTTTCTCCATTTGTGAAATGAAGGATTGAATCAGAAATGTATGGCTTTGTGTTTTGAATTCCTGCTTCTGATACTGCCCTGCTGGTTCTGGGTATAGAACTTGGTTTCCTCTTGCTGAGTTTTGTGTCCCCACTTCTGGCTATTTCTGCTGCCTTGTGTTCAGTACCGTGGTTCAGCTGAATACTAGCTGTGTGATCTTAAGCAAGTCATAAGCCTCTCTGAGCCTCAGTTTTCTCATTTATACAGTTGAGGTGATAATACTATTTCTCTCACACTCTGTGAGGTGAAAATAAAACCCGACTTAGTAAGCCCTTTATTTATTCATTTTAATGTTTCTTTATTTTTGAGAGAGAGACCGAGTTGGGGGGGTGGGGGGAAGGGGCAGAGAGGCAGAGAGAGAGGGAGACACAGAATCCAAAGCAGGCTCCAGGCTCCAAGCTGTCAGCACAGAGCCCGACGCAGGGCTCGAACCCACAAACCATGAGATCATGACCTGAGCCAAAGTCAGATGCTCAGCCAACTGAGCCACCCAGGCGCCCCTTAGTTAGCCCTTTATAAGCGATCACAGAGGGACTGAGGGCACTTTGGCTTTTTGTGATAGCATTTTTTCATCATGTGCCACCTCCCTCCCCCTTTAGGGGATGGCTGCATCCTTTCAGCACCGCCACCCAGAGAACTGCTGGAGAGGACTGCAGTTCTGAGGACCCTCCCGATGACCTTGGGCCCTCTCTTGCAGAACGAGCCTTAAAGCTTAAAGCTGTGAAACTGGAGAAAGAAGTCCAGGACTTAACAGTGAGTAGATTTTATCTGTTCTTCACATCCTCTCTCTGGTTTAATATCTGCATAAAGTTTTCATGTCAGTTTTTTCAATTAAATTTCCTCTGATTGGCTCTTTACCTCTCACCCCACCTCCACCCTCTTGCTAGGTGTGTTAGGCAACATAGTCTATAGTCATTTAAAAACCTGTTGTGTCACAGTACTTAGATACCTAATGTTGTGGTAGCTTCAGAGGAGGTACAGTGCCTGGCGTGTAGTAAAACTCAATAGATACTTGTTGAATGAATGACGTCGCTTATCATTTTACTCTGCCGATCAGACTGCATCCGGTATACTCACCCGGTACTGGGTTGACAAACACACTTTGAGGGTGATAATTAGAGTAGTTCCAAAGCAAGACCACCCAGAATAGTGAGGAGGTAGGAAAGCATGTCTTAGGAGAGCAATTAAAGGAATCAAAGATTGTAAGAATGAAAGAGGAAGAGATTAAAGGAGCTAAACATACCGTTGTCCTAGAGTTCAGTTCAATGAATGAAAGAGGGTGGCAGTATCGGCTGAGTGTGAAAAGGGAAGCTTTCTCTCAAGATAATGAGCTTGAAAAGCAAGTGTTCAGAGTAGGAGGCTAAATGACAGTCTGTCAAGGCTGCTATAAAGAGTAGGTTCCTGGGGCGCCTGGTTGCCTCAGTTGGTTGAGTGTCTGACTTATTTTGGCTCGGGTCATGATCTCACGGTTCGTGGGATTGAGCCCCGATTCAGGCTCTACACTGATAGCACGGAGCCTGCTTAGGATTCTGTCTCTGTCTCTCTCTCTCTCAAAATAAAGAAATAGACACAAACACAAGAGAGTAGCTTCCTGCCTTGGCTGGGGATTTGGAGTAGTTGATCTAAGATTCCTACAGTTCCTCATTTTTTTTAATAAAAATCAGTCACAAGGGTGAAGGTTGTAAAGGTAGCAAAAACACTCTTTTCCACCAGCAAGCATGTTTTCTGATCATTTTCACTTTGCTTTTGGTGTTCAGATGAGATACCAGAGAGCTGTAGCTGATGGTGAAAACATAAGGCGGCGAACCCAGAGATGTGTAGAAGATGCCAAGATATTTGGTGAGAGATTTATTCACGATAAAAATTCAAATGCCTTTCAGTTTAAGGATGCTTACTAGCAGTTTTGCAAACTGAACATAGTAAACAACACAGCTGCATCCTAAACCAGTCCCTACCCTGCTCTTGTACCCTTGCCATATGCTTTCTGAAATGTTTATTGGGAATGTTGCCACGTGAACCATTTGCTACAATAATGCTTGCTTTCGTTTTAACCAAAACCTTTGTTATTTTATTTTTCAAGCACGTACGCGTAACATCCTGGGCCTTCTACATTCAATTCTGTTTGACTCGTTAATGAAGAAGTGAATCATTAAGATGTTCAGAGGAGAATCCAGAGAGCAAGATGCATGAGTAATCAGGCATATTAAAATTTTCTTGGTAGAAGCAAAATTACTCTAGATCCATAGAGCAGTAATCAACTGTATCTCCACCAATTTTCACTACTATGGGCAATAACCATTTGCCTTACCATTAGTATTTACAACTTACTAAGTTATAAAATAGCTCAAAGACGTATGGAAGCAGATTAACTCTGGAAGTTATGCTAGATTACATCTGTTTTTTCATTGATGACTGAAAAAGGTTTTTTGGTCCAATTTAAAGTCTTTCTTGGGGCTCCTGGGTGGCTCAGTCAGTAAAGCATCCGACTTCAGCTCAGGTCATGATCTCAGGTCATGATCTCACTGTTTGTGGGTTCGAGCCTCACATCGGGCTCTGTGCTGACAGCTCAGAGCCTGGAGCCTGCTTCGGATTCTGTGTCTCCTTCTGTCTCTGCCCCTCCTCCACTCCTCTGTCTGTCTCTCAAAAATAAACAAACATTAAAAAAATTTTTTTTTTCTTAAGTCAGAGGCACCTGGCTGGCTCAGTCAGTGTAGCATGCAGCTTTTAATTTTGGGGTTGTAAGCTCGAGCCCCACATTGGGTACAGAGATTATTTAAAAATAAAATCTTAAAAATATATCCATATGAAGGCTGCACATTTAAAAAATATAAAAAATAAAGTCTTTCAGAAGTATTTCTCTGAACACACAACATCTTGTTCCAGATATGTTCATGAAAGTGTTAGTAGAGGGCAAATCTGTGATTACTTGAGATGCTCACAATTTCATACAGACCATTGTACTTTCACTGCACATAGAATGAAGGTGCTTGAGGGGCCCTTGGGTCCTTTCTAGTACAATCTTCTCTTGTAGGTGAGCTGAAAAAAATTAATTGGTGACAGATAGAGGCATGAGTCCATTGTCTCCTGACCGCCAGTCTATTATTCATTCCCCTGTATCACATTACCTCCTGTTCTCTTCATTTATCTGCTGTTTGTGCATAGGATTCGCTTCATTCCTGTCCTGTCCATTCATTCCCCTATTCAAACCCTAGTGCTTTGGCATAGCCTTCTGCTTCTCATTCAGTGCTATGGACATCACGTTTCAAGGCTTTGAGTATTAGCTAAGGACTGACCCCCAGATTGTATCACTGATAATTTCATCCACGTTTTAGTGTCTTACTTCCAACTGTCAGGGCAGGGCTTAGCAAACTACAGCCTATAGGCCAAGCCTGCGACCTGTTAGTCAATAAATATAGTTCTGAATTTCATTGTTAAAAATTGGGGGAATTTATTGTCTCTTGTTAAATGATCACCTACATAAGATCCTTGGGTTTTTTCCGTCTTGTCCCACAAAGCCTAAAATATTTATATATGGCCCTTAATAGGAAGAGTTTGCTGACTTTGAGCTACAAGGAATTTCTGTAGCAAATAAACCAACTGTGGTACCTGGGGAAGACTTCTAGCCTGCTTGAGGGGTGCAGGGTAAGTTGTCTTATCAGAAGTCAGGCTGTGATGAGTTTGGAACGGACTTCCATCAGTTTCCTCAAGACTTGATAAGGTTCCTAGGAACAAGCAAATATTTAGCTAAACCATAAAATAGTTTGGTAATCTATTAATTTATGGCGCAAAATGTGTCTAGCAATATGCCTGCCACATAAGTCATTTGCCTGGATCATTTCCTCCTAGTGGCCAGGAATATTAGAAAAATTGAAGATTGCTCAGGAAGTCTGGAGGTAGAAACACAGTAGAAAGCTTTTAGTATGGAACACAGCATGATGACTCCTTCCAGGGATTGCTTTGCCTCAATAACTCACCTTCTCTTAACAGATCATAAAGATTCTCCCCCACCCGCAAGAAATGATGTAGACACCAGCTTCCTTTTGAAGTAACAATAATGAGAATAGAATCGGAGTGTGGACCCCACACTATATAAACAAGAGAACCTGGGCTTCTATTTTCCCAAATGCTTACAACTTGATTGAACAGAAGCCGGGGTTCTTTGTACCATGTCAATGTACAGTCATCCCAGAAGCTTAGAGCTTTCAAAATTCTATTAGAGTGTATGTCTTCTTTTAATAGTCAGGGCATGCTTTGGATACCCCTGGTTGATGTTTATGAGACATTCTTTTCTCATTGGTGTTCTGATCTAATCGGCATACTTTTCAGGCCTTCGGCTAATCTCTTCTACCTTTTCAACTGATTTCATTAATAGCCATTAATATTTACGGCTGCCATCCCTGATGGAGGTGAGGGAAGTATCTTGTGGTACTCTGATCACACCGAGTCTGGTACCCTGGAAGTGCCTCCTGGTTTTACCCTTTTCCTCTCCTTCACCTCCTCCTACTCCAGACCGGGTCACACCAGCTGATTCCTTCACGTGGCTCTCCTATTTCTTGTATCTTCTCTTCCTGCCCATCTGTCATGCCCCCAGCACCCCAGATCCATTTTGTATGTTATTATTAGACTAATTTGAATCATTTTATACTTGTTTTGCTCAAGATACTATAGTGAATCTCTGTCACCCAGAAGTTAAAGATAGAATCCTTACCTCTGTCAGTTATTCTTCTAGAATCTAGGCAGTAAGTCTGGGGAATCTCTTCTCTGTCATCTCTTTTATTGCTTCCCTGTGGCTGAGCTTCCTTTTTATCTCTGAGTATGGTTAAACTGGCTATCTGTTACGACACATGGCCTTAAAACTGCCCCTGGATTAAAACCAGAATGGAGTCTTTCACCCTTACCATTGCTTTGCTGTTATGATAGATACCTGTAATGATGACATTCCTTATCATTTCTGTAAGAAAAATCAAGATGCGGCATTGGGAGTAATGAGATTTCTCAACAACTGAATTTAGTTTCAGAACAGTTTTTGTGACTGAAAAGGTTAAGCAAGTTTCATGGCCCATCTCCAGCAAGTATACGTAACTTCGCAGCAGGCAGTTGAAGACTCACCTCACCTACGGAGTATCTTACTTTCCTGCTCCTCTTTAGCCGATTCTCAACAACCATTCTTGAATCTCCCTTAGCATGGTCTTACCAAATAATTTTTGTATTATTGCCCCCTGCCCCATGACATACTCATGTCTTATCCCTATTGAGAGTGCATGCCTTAGCAAAATTGAGACGTGAGAATTTTCAAAATGTACATAACTTAATATTAAAGGTGAATAGCAACAAAAATACAAGAAGCATTGACCAGGTTTTTAAAAGACAGGTTTCTGATCTTCCCGTGTGTAGTCTTACCTAGGTCTTAGATTCTAACCATCTTCCCCATTTCCTGGTAGGCTTCCCGGTCATATGCCTTCCCAGAGAAACACTGGTTTGTCAGTTGGGTTCAGGTGGTAATTGTTGATCCTTGAGTCCTGTGTGGCAATCTTCCTACTTCTGGGGTGCCCAGTAGGCTAGCCCTTATGTGGGCCTTCCCCATACCCCACCCCCAAAAGCAAAGTGATTTCCTCACAAACAATAACAGTGTGTGGTTTCTCTAGGAATTCAGAGTTTCTGTAAGGACTTGGTAGAGGTGGCAGACATTTTGGAGAAGACTACAGAGTACATTTCTGAAGAAACAGAGCCTGGGGACCAGAAGCTCACTCTGGAGAAGATCTTCCGAGGGTTATCACTTTTAGAAGCAAAGCTGAAAAGTGTGTTTGCCAAACATGGCCTAGAGAAGATGACACCCATCGGTGACAAATACGACCCTCATGAGCATGAACTCATCTGTCACGTGCCCGCTGGCGTTGGGGTACAGCCCGGCACTGTGGCATTAGTAAGGCAAGATGGCTACAAGCTTCATGGCCGCACCATTAGACTTGCCCAGGTGGAAGTGGCCGTGGAGTCTCAGAGAAGACTATGAAAGGACCATGAGGAACTGGATGTTCTCCCAGAGTACAGTCACCTGTGTTTCCTTTATTTATTAAACTAGGTTTGTATTGTACATGAGGTACTTCATGTGATCTGTTTTGGATTTAGTCATATTGGCTTTATTTCTAAAATACTCTACGGATTTAATGTGACCTATGTGGTCTCATCAGAAGTCTTGCCATTGGGCATTTGAACAATGTGACAAGTGATCCTGTGGCCTTTGTCCAAATCTGTTTAAGAAAATTATTTTAAAATTGGTACTCTGATGACTATCAATTGAAAATCTTTTTAAAAGATGGAAACGAGGATATGTTTATGTATTTTCAGCTAAATGTTTCTTTCTAATGGTCTCTGTAACAGGAATTGTATAGGATCTGTTATTTCGTGGGAAAAGGAGATGGTAGGGATTGATTCAACGTCTGGGTACTTAGATGCTAAAGCTGTATAGAGTTACATGAATTTAGATCGTTTGGGTTGATTTTTATACACATAGATTTTTTTTTTTTTAGGACTTCCCCTTGTTATTTTTCTTTTAGCCACCTTTTGTCCTTGTAGTCCCCACCAGGTGGGCCATATTCACACTCATTGTCCCTTTCCAGTTCCCGTTTATAAGGGCTAATTAAGGCCAAGGCAAGACTTGGAAGGCAAGGAGTATCAAGAAATTCAAGATACGAGGTCCCTTTCAAGCAAGTATGACCAAGAAACGTTGTGCTGTCTTTGCTGATTTACCTTCAAATTTTCAGCCTCCCTGGGTATATAATCATTTCATTGTAACTGAAGCAGCACCCATAGCCAATGATCCAAGTTGGTCTGTATAAGTAATTTACCTACAGCTTTTGTCTCCACTAGCCCTTAAATCTTCCACTTCGTCAAATTTGCTTTATCATCCTTTATTAGATTATGCAGGGAGGTGGTCAGGACAAAAATAGGTTCCTACAATTTCTCATTTCATTTAGTTATGCTGATTTTTTTTTTTTTTTTTTTTTGGTACTCACAAATCACTACCTCTCTCACACTGATAAACTTTGTTTTCTAGTTTTTGTTTGTCTTATGTCACATGTATTAATATCTAGCTGGAGTTAGTGAGACTGTGTGGTTTTGTTTGTTTGTTTTTTCTAGTCTTACTTATACCTGGTGCTCTGTAACAGATTTGGTCAGTAAATAAGTGAATGAATGACCTATGAATCAGACTTTAGAAAGGAGGTCAGTTATGGATTTGTAATGTTAGAAGAGGCCTTAATGATGATCTCATCTCACCCTTTCAGCTTCTTAAGAATGAAGACATCTTTTAAGAACTGGACTCAAAAATGTCTAAAACCAGTAAACTGAATTTCTGTGAGGACTTGAATAAGGAATAACTAGATACTAACTTTAATCATTTAAGCTTCAACAGTTCTGTAATGAACGTGCAAGTGTGTCCGCAGCAAACAAATGTCGTTGGAGGTCCAGATTGCATGGGTTCAGGTTTTTACGTCGGTTACCCATAAAGTAAATCCATTTCTAGAACTTTATGACCCCATTCCGTGGAGTGGTAAAAGTTATCCTCTTAGACATCATAGATGGTTCTAGCACACTCCGCACATATCAATAAAACCATCCCCCAATGGGCCCTGCCATCTCCACCAGAATTAGACACTTAAAAAAAAAATAAATAAAAAGCAAGTACATGCTTTTAAGAAGCAAACAAAAGACTGGTGTAAGATTTTTAAAACCAGAACCGCTTTCTGCTTTCCACTAAGTACGTACTATAAACTTAATGAGCATCAGAGTTCACAATAAGAACTGGATTTTTTTGCCTTCATTCCTTTGAGATTGACCGATGGTGACAAGAAAAGGAGCCGATGACAATTACCTAGGCTTCCATGAGTTACGAGCTGTCATTAATCAGTGATTTAGAACCACAATAATTTTAGGTATGGCATGTTCCAAGTACTTCAAGAGTTTTCTAATATTCCTTGCAACCTCCCGTTTTAGCAAGTAGATTGAGGAGAATTTTAGATTTTTTTGTTATTCAGTAGTTACGCAGACTTAAAAGTGTAAATTTAGAAGATGGGGCTATAACAGTAAGAATCTCAAAAAGTTGGGCTTTGGGGAGCCAGAGCAGCATAAGAGAGCAGGGGCTCTGCAGGCATTGGCTTGAATGTAAATCCCAGCCCAGTCTGTCACCTTGGGCCCCAGTCATCTCACCCTCCAGAGCCTGCTTCCTCGTTTGTACAATGATTACAATTCTCTCGCAGTACTGTGAGGATTGGATGAAATGTGTAAACTGTCTACTACAGTAGGCCCTCAAATATTTATTTTTATTACTTTTTATTATATATGTGGTTTTGCCTCTGTTTTTATAGCTGCCCTAAAGTCTAAGGAAAAGGGAAGGCTGGTTAAGTGATGCTTTTCTATAAAAAATTGTAGTTTAATCAATCACAGTGACTTGTTTTCCTGCCAGCTTCATTTTTTTCTGTTGTTGTTGTTTTTTTTTAAACATAAATCCACACTTTCAGACTGAAGGAGCAAGAAAATTGTGTCAGTGCTCTTATTATTTTCATCTTGACGGGAAAGCGAAAAGACATTGTAGGCCTGCAGTTGTGTAAGGAAGCTTTGGCTCACTTGAAGAGGGGATCTTGGTGTTTTAGTACGTACAGTCTAACAGTCTACAAATCTTTTACAGATTGTCTTCTCGGCCATAAGGGAATCAGTTTGATACTGATAAATTAATTGGTGCTCTTTCATGGCAAAGGATTTGATAAGTGAAGAAAGGGTCTTGAACACTAAAGCAAATTAAATAGGGATATTCAGAAGCAACTTCAATAAAACCTGAGTTGATGTAACCGCAGATCATGTGTTTAGTGTGTTTGTCTGCCTAAATGTTGACATTATGGCCACCGCATTGATTGTAGACCCATCTTGGTGATGCACCGTTGAGGTTCCTTGAGATCTCACAGCAGCCCAGCTATGTGCATGCAGTGAGATGCAGGCATCACACACCCTGCCTTGGGGTTGAAGTCTTACCTGTTTTCCTGCTTCCTTCCCTTGCTTCATTCTGATTTCTCCGTATTTCTTAGATCTGGACTCCTGCTTCTGCCTTCCTCTCTGTCATTGCCTTATTTTCTTATGCGTGTTTCTTGGTTCTAATTGTATTATCTGCTTCGGCCGCTTCACTTGCTAGGCTTCTGATCCTCCCAACCAGATTACTAACATGTGGCCTCATTCTGACTTTCAGCTTCACGAGTTCTTGCCAAGCTCTACCTGGCTTTGTCCATACATCTGCTCAACTGGTTTCCACATACCTGGCCTGGCTGAGTGGCCCTTCACTCTTAGAGCTCAGCCATCAACTTAAGAGCAAACTGAAGGGCTTGTGAAGTGGAATGGGCCCTAGCTGAGCTTTCAGCTGATAGCCAACACCGTCTTGCCAGGCCTCTTGGGGAGCCATTTTGAAAGTGGATCCTCCAGCCCCTAGTGGAGCAGTTCCATCTGATACCACATGGAACAGAGATGAGCTGATCGGAGTCCTGCCCAAAATGCAGATTTATGGCCAAAGTAAGTGATTGTTACTTTTAGCCACTAAGTTTTGGGGCAGTTTGTTATGCAGTAATAGGTAATTGATAGAGTCTCCCAGCTTCACTTCCAGCCTCACTAGTTTTGCACCTCGGCCACCAGAATTCTTCCTCCTTGCTTTTACAGCTCTTTTGAACGTGTCCCACAACTTCGGTGTGCTCACCCATTATCAATGGGTTTGTTGTAGGATGGAAAGAACTTCCTAATAGGAGAAAACACAGCTAAAGTTTCTAGAGTTCACAAAGACCTTAAAATTAAAAGCAAAGTCGAGGCAAGAAGTTGAATTTTCACGGTACCTGGGTGGCTCGGTTAGGGATCCCACTTAAGCTCAGGTCATGTTCTCATGGCTTGTGGGTTCCAGCCCCATGTCAGGCTCTGTGCTGACAGCTGGGACCTGGAGCCTGCTTCGGATTCTGTGTCTCTGGCTCTCTACCCCTCCTCCACTCCTACTCTGTCTCTCAAAAACAAGTAAACATTGAGAAAAAAAAAATTTTTTTTAAGTGTTGAATTTTAGCTCCTCTCTCCTTTTGTCCACCGTCGCAGCGTGTGTGCAATTGACTGTTCTCACCATGTCTTCTCACGAGACTTTCAGTATCAAGTGATTCCTGGCCAAGGAACAACAGCAGAATCGTCCCATTCTCTAGTAGATTTGGATGAAAACTGGTAATAAAATACACAACTCCAAGAGGAGACATTAAAGAACCACACTGGGTCTCTAAAAAAATCCCATGTTAGGTGGCATACATATTTATGCTGCATGAACGTCATTTGTTCATATCCTATCACTGTAAACTTCTCTACTACCTGAACAATAGATATGTTTTATTTGGAAAATGATTTTTCTCTGTTCCTATGCTTCTGCACCAATAGATTGGTTCAGTAATAAATATGTGAGAACTTTTTTTGGAAAAAAAAAAGTTGAAATTTAAAATTAATAAAATTTACCCTACTGTGAGAAATAAGCCCGCTGCCCCAATCAAAGCGGGACACGGAGCCTCAGAGCACAGTGAAGCGAGGCTTTAATGAACATTCCTGCATGAGCGGGTGTGTGACGAAGAGGCACACTCAGAGCAGTTACAGCAGGCAATTTATCTCCTAGCGTGCAAGTCCCTCCCCTGATTCCTCATTGGCTGAGCACTACAGAGGTTACAGCCTTACCGGAAGTGGCCTATGCCCATGTAAGGCAAAAAGTAGTCTGACTGGAACAAATGTACATTCTTTGAGGTGATGAAAAGATTTCAGTTCTTCTGCACATGCTCGTGGCAAAGCCTGTGAAAATAAACCCACAAAAAAGAGGGGAAGAAGAACCAGGAAGTGAAGTGTCTAAGGGTTTGTTGGTTGGGGGGCGAGGCGGGGGGGGGGGGGGTCATGCATATTTACGATAGGTTATAAACCTATTGTTAACTAGACAGCACAGCTTTTATTTGGTATTTCTGAAAATGAATCATCTCACTTCTCATACCTATCAAAAACTACAAGAATCAGATTAAGTCAGCACATAAGAGAACTTTGTCACAAAGTGATGAATGCTGTCTAACAAAAAATTTAAGGGAATATCTTGAGTCACTGGGAATGAACTTAAAAAGTTTGGCATTGGGCAGGGGGGGGCCCCTGGGGGGCTCAGTAGGTTAAGCATCCAACTTGGTTTCAGCTCAGGTCATGATCTCACCCTTCTGTGAATTCAAGCACTGCATCACTGCTTGGGATTCTCTGTCTCACTCTGCACCTCCCTCGATCACGCTCGCTCTCTCTCTCAAAAATCAATAAACTTAAAAAGTTTTCCTTTCTGAAATAGCATTGCCAAAAAGATTTTTTTTTTTTAAGATTATAAGAAACGCATGTTTGTTCATCTACCACTTGACTAGTAATCCAGTTTGGCCTTGTTGAGACTCACAAAGCCGACTTAGAATCCCAGCCATATGCTCTTTTACTATTCTCTGAATCCTTTCAGTTTCTTCTTTTAGCCATAATCTGACTGGATAAATATGGGTTTTCCTTATTTATCATGAAACTCATTCCCAACTTTATTTTCTGCTAGAGGAATCTGCCCTTCACGGTGAAAAGTACTAACCACACTGCGCTGCTCTTGTTTTCTTAGAGGGTGAAAATGGAAAATGGAAGCTTATCCTTCCTTACTACCTTTCCTCCCCCTGAGAAGAGACTAGATGAAACCTTTCCTTTTTTTTATTTTTATTTTTTTTTTATAAATTTTTTTTTCAACGTTTTTATTTATTTTTGGGACAGAGAGAGACAGAGTATGAACGGGGGAGGGGCAGAGAGAGAGGGAGACACAGAATCGGAAACAGGCTCCAGGCTCTGAGCCATCAGCCCAGAGCCTGACGCGGGGCTCGAACTCACGGACCGCGAGATCGTGACCTGGCTGAAGTCGGACGCTTAATCGACTGTGCCACCCAGGCGCCCCTTTTTTTAATTTTTTAAAATATTTCCTTTTTGAGAGAGAGACAGAGACAGAGCATTAACAGGGGCGGGGCAGAGAGAGGAATCACAGAATCCAAAGCAGATTCCAGGCTCTGAGCTGTCTGCACTGGGCCCAACAGGGGTCTTGAACTCAGGAGCCGGGAGATCATGACTTGAGCTGAAGTCGGTCGCTCAACCGAACGAGCCACCCGGGCGCCCCCCGCGCCTTTAAGTAGAAGGCAGAGATGCAAACTGTATGTAGAAACTGCAAATACACGTCGGTAACAGCAGTCTCGAAAGCATCTGGCTCGTTTCCACGCATGCAGCGGGTAGCGCCTGGCCACCATGGCTGCACGCCTGGTCAGCAATTTGCTGCACTTGCAGACACTGCCGAGCGGTATCACGTCCCTTATCTCACGTGATTGTCACAACCACTTAGAAAGGCAGAGCAGGGAAACCGAATGAGACACAGAGAAGGCACGTTAGAGAGCTAGTAACTCGCAGCGGCTAGGCTTGAACCGAGGCGGTCAGAGCTTCGGGTCTCCCTCCCGTCAGGGTCCCCCGCAGTGGGGCCCTGGTCCTGATGCTGTACGGTCGAAGCGCGCACACCTGCGCGTGGGCAGGACGAGCCAGCCAATGAGGAAGCCGCATCGAGGAGGCGGGACGGGGAAGCTGCTAATGACAGAGCCTGCCCGAGAGGGATGCAGCTAATGAGGGCCTCTTGCTGGAGAAAGACGGCCGCTCGCCCAATGAGAGGCTGTGACCGGCGGGCTGAAGGCGGAACAGCCAGTGGGGTGCCGGGGCGGGGCGGCGAGCCCAGCGCCAACCCGCGAGCGACCGAACCCCGGCGTGCAGCCCGGATCGCCGCCCGCCATGGCCCGCGCTGCCCGGCTCCTCGCCGCGCTAGCCGCGCTCCTGGCCGCCGCCGCCACAGGCGGAGATGCCCGGCCCAGCAAAATCGGTGCGGGAAGGACAGGGTGGGGGGCTGCGCGGGGGAGGGCTGCGAGGGAAAAGGGATCGCAGCAGGGAGCTGCCGGGTGGGGGAAGGGGAGGGAAACTGGGCGAGGGAGGGGTCTTCCGGAGAGGAGCTGGCTGGGGGAGAGGCGAGGGACTGAGAGTGGGCGAGGAAGGGGACCGGCAGTGGGCAAGGTGCTGATCCCGGCTGGCGTGGGCATGTGGCGACGCCTGCCTGGGGCTGGAAAAGAGGCTCGGGGCAGGACTGGCCACAGATCTCACCAGAGGTCCACGGACATTAAGCATCTACGGTGGACCTGGCTCTTTGCCAAGTGCCCCGATGGATGACAGAGAGGACTGGGTGTGGGTGATGTCATTCATGAATGAAGGCTTATTGAGGGCCGTCAGTGTAGCAGGCACAGTGCTCCGTAGCTCCTGTCTGGAGGAGAGACGGCGCAATACAGGGAAGTCGGTGGTAAGGCCGAGAAGGTACCCTGATAGGGAGAGCATTTCCACCCACCCCTTCAGGCCTCTGGGAGGCCTCTGGAGGCTTCCTAGGAGTAACATCTAAGCCAAAACCTCAAGGAGAATAGGAGACCGAGCCCGTGGTAGGTCTAGTGGAGATAGATTTGTTGGACGACAGGGAAGAACTTTTAACAGCAGTCATCTTGGTTGTTATTACAATGTTTCATTTTGAAAAATTTCGAACATGGGCAAAGTTGAAAGAACTGGATATACAGTGATCATCTATGTACTCGCCACCAAGATTCTGCCAGTAGCAAACTGCTACTGTACTTGCATTATTACCTAATTATCACCCACCCATTAACTTGATGCATTTCAAAATAAATCGCGGACATCGGGGCACCGTGCTAAATACTCCATCGTGCATATCACTGGCTTGAG